GATTCTACGGTATTTCAATTTTTGGACATTTCAGTTTTGGGATTTTTTAATTTCCCGATTTTTTAGTTTTTCGATTCTTCAATTTTTCGATTTTTTTATTGTAAATTTTTCGATTTCCCGATTGCTGGTTTTTTGATTTTTAGTGTTTCGATTTTTTAAATTTTATACTAACGATTTTACGATTTTTTGATGTTTCGATATCTCTTTCGATTTTTTGACCTCTCCCTTTCAGATTTTTCGGTTTTTTAATTATTCGAGATTCCAGTTTGAGGATTTTCCAGGATTTTTCGAATTTTCGATTTCTCAATTTTTTATTTTTCGATTTCTCGATTTTCCGAAATTTTAGTTTTGCCATTTCAGTTTTTCGATTCTTTAATATTTTAATTTTTGGCCTTTCGAAATTTTCGGTTTTTCCTTTTCTCAATTTCTCTATTAAGCGATTCTTTGATTTTTCGACTTTTCGATTTCCCAATTTTATCTATTTTGATTTCTCTACTTTTCGATTTCTCGATTTTTCAATTTTTCGATTTCTCAAGTCTTCGATGTTGCAGTTTTGGCATTTTTCAATTTTTGTGATTTTTCGTTATTTCGATTTTTCAATTTTGCGATTCTTCAATTTTTCGACTTTTTAATTTTCCGGTTTTTTAAATTTTAGACATTTGTGAGCCTTTCGATTTTTCGACTACTCGGTTTTTCAATTTTTCAATTTTCCGATTTCCAATTTGTCGAGATTTCGATGTCTCAGTTTTTTAATTTTTCATTTATCTAGTTCTTTAAGTTAAGTGTTTCAATTTCGATTTTTCGACTTTTCGATTCTACGGTGTTTCAATTTTTGGACATTTCAGTTTTGGGATTTTTCAATTTCTCGATTTTTTAGTTTTTCGATTTTTCAATTTTTCGAATTTTTTAATTGTAGATTTTTCGATTTCCCTCTTTTTGGTTTTTTGATCTTTAGTTTTTCGATTTTTTAAATTTTATATTAAAGATTTTTCCATTTTTCGATTTTACGATTTTTTGATGTTTCAAATGCCCGATTTTAAACTTTTTAGTATGTATGTACATATTTGAATTTTTCGGATTTTAAAATTTTTCGACTTTTAATTTTTTTTAATTTCTCGATTTTTAAAATTTTTCGCTTTTAGATTTTTCGGTTTTTTAATTTTTCGACATTTTAGTTTGAAGATTTTCGAATTCTAGATTTTTCGAATTTTCGATTTCTCAATTTTTTATTTTTCGAAATCTCGATTTTCCGAAATTTCAGTTTTACGATTTTAGTTTTTCGATTGTTCAATTTTTCGATTCTTCAATATTCCAACTTTTGGCGTTTGAAATTTTCGGTGTTTCCTTTTCTCAATTTCTCTATTAAGCGATTCTTTGATTTTTCGACTTTTCGATTTTCCAATTTTTTCTATTTTGATTTTTCTAATTTTCGATTTCTCTATTTTTCAATTTTTCAATGTTTCAGTTTTAGGATTTTTCAGTTTTGGGATTTTTCGATATTTCGATTTTTCAGTTTTTCGATTCTTCAATTTTTGGACTTTTTAATTCTCGTTTTTTTAATTTTTTATTCATTTCTGTTTCTTGACCTTTCTATTTTTCCACTTCTCACTTTAGATTTTTCGGTTTTTCAATTTTTCAATTTTCAGTTTTCCAATTTTCCAATTTATCGAGATTTCGATGTCTCAATTTTTTAACTTTTCGATTTATCGGGTTAAATGTTTCAATTTCAAATTTCTCAATTTTTTATTGTTCGTCTTCTGCGCTTCTCGATCTCTCAATCTTTTGATGTTTCAATTTCTAGATGTTTCAATTTTTCAAGTTCGATTTCTCGGTTTTTCTATTTTTCGACACTTCAATTTTGGGATTTTTCAATTTCCCGATTTTTTAGTTTTTCGATGTTTTAATTTTTCGAATTTTTTAATTGTAGATTTTTCGATTTCCCGATTTTTGGTTTTTTGATTTTTAGTTTTTCGATTTTTTAAATTATATTATTAATTAATTAATTAAAGTATACGATTTTTTGATGTTTCGAATTGCCGATTTTAAACTTTTAATATGTATGTGTATGTACATATTTGAATTTTTCGAATTTTAAAATTTTTCGACTTTCAATTTTTTTTGGTTTCTCTATTTTTCAAATATCTCGCTTTTAGATTTTTCGGCTTTTTAATTTTTCGACATTTTAGTTTGAGGATTTTCCAATTCTCGATCTTTCGAATTTTCGATTTCTCAATTGTTTATTTTTTCATTTCTCGATTTTCCGAAATTTCAGTTTTTCGATTCTTCAATTTTTCGATTCTTCAATATTTCAATTTTTGGCGTTTCGAAATTTTCGGTTTTTCTTTTTCTCAATTTCTCTATTAAGCGATTCTTTGATTTTTCGATTTTTCGATTTTTCAATTTTTTCTATTTTGATTTTTCTACTTTTCGATTTCTCGATTTTTCAATTTTTCGATGTTTCAGTTTTAGAATATTTCAATTTTGGGATTTTTCAATATTTCAATTTTTCAATGTTTCTTTGTAATTTTTCGTTTTTCTAATTTTTAGACATTTCTGTCTCTTGACCTTTCTATTTTTCGATTTCTCGCTTTAGATTTTTCGGTTTTTCAATTTTTCAATTTTCAGTTTTCCGATTTTCCAATTTATCGAGATTTCGATGTCACAATTTTTTAATTTATCTATTTATCGGGTTCTTTAAGTTAAATGTTTCAATTTCAAATTTCCCAATTTTCGATTGTTCGTCTTCTGGGTTTCTCGATCTTTCAATCTTTTGATGTTTCGATTTCTAGATGTTTCAATTTTTCGACATTTCAGTTTTGGGATTTTTCAATTTCCCGATTTTTTAGTTTTTCCATTCTTCAATTTTTCGAACTTTTTAATTGTAGATTTTTGATTTCCCGATTTCTAGTTTTCCGATTCTTCAATTTTGCGTTTTTTTTTTTAATTGTAGATTTATTTTTCGATTTCTCGGTTTCTAGTTTTTTGATTTTTGGTTTTTTGATTTTATATGAACGATTTTTCCATTTTTCGATTTTACGATTTTTTGATGTTTCGAATTTCCGATTTTAAACTTTTTTCAATTTTTCGAGTTTTCATTTTTTTAATTTCTCGATTGTTCAGGTTTTCGATTTCTCCATTTTTCAACATTTGAATTTTGGAAAATTTTCAAAATCTCACATTTCCAATTTGTCGATTTTGATCGATCTTTCGACTTTTCGATTTTGATCGGTTTTTGAATTTTCGATTTTTAAAATTTTGATATATATTTTTCTATTTGTAGTTAAATAAAATAGGAAAAACCGTCATAACCTTCCAACAGACAAGATTAAGCACTGACTAGTACACTTTCCCCCCAGTACACTCACAAGTGGATTCATCCGGACGCTTGTATGTCCACTGCGACGTTTTATTGGTGTGTTCTTCTTAAAATATTTCAACTCTACTTACCCAAACCTATTATACTTCGGAGAATTTGTGGAATATTAACATAATGTAAATTGTTTTGTTACTGTGTTAAAAAACAATCACGAATTGTAAAAATGTTTGGTCTCACAGCTAACTTTTTTTAAGACAGTTGTACTAAATTTACAAAGATCTTACAATTTAAAATCATCATAAAATTTGTTCTTATTTTACGTTTGTTTTTGTCAGGTTTATTGCGTTTTCTACTGTTTTCTTCTAAAATACATTTACACTGCTGTGATTAGTTTATATAATTCCTTTAAAATTGGTGGAAATAATAAATACTAATGAACACATCTAATAATTAGAATAAAATTAGTTTTTAGTTTAACGTTACAGATTTTTGTTAAATATTTTATTTTATTACCCCTGAAGGCAAACTTTATGGATTCTTTGTTTCTACGAAGTTTTTAAAATTAAAAGTTATTCAAACGGAAAAGTTGCAACTACTAACAAAATAAAATATTAATACTAGCTTGGTGCCTGCGGCTTCACCCACGTAAAACAGTTTCAATACAAAACAAGACTTATGAAAGTTGGAGTATTTTAGGAATTTTTCCCTTTTTCATCTCCTCAGGGATAGAACTAAAAACAGTCTGGAAGTACATTTGTATGTTTATCTCTTACAAGCATTGACAGCGTTGATAGCTGATTGAACATAAGAATTTTTAAAGAATTTGTAAAAATAAATTTCATTCCTTTCAACCCCTTAAATGCTGAATTCGGTCCTAAGGGGAAATATCCTTAAAAATTCATGTTTCCATGTCCAGGAGTCTTGTAAAAAATATATCGTGCTTAAATTTGTGGGTTATATTTGGGAAATCCCTCGTTGACGTGTGTCTGCGTCTTAAGGGAAAACCACCCCTAACATTTCAAGTTCCTATATAGACACAGGCATTTGATGATGGACAATAATTTTTTTTTTGCGCGTAGTTGATATTTGTTTGAACGCCACAAAAATTCGAGAACACACGTCAATTGACAACAAAAATGCAGCCAAACAAAATATGCATAATATCAATCTTCAGTCGGTTAAAATCTCAAACAGGAAAATCGAAAGGCCAAAACCAACAATCCGGGCTGAATTTATTTCAGCAACGCGGAAATTGTTGCAATAAAATGTTTCCACAGCAAATAAGTGGAGCTTAACGATAATCAGTCTTGCACAAGACCATAAAATCACAAAGATAAAAATTGTATGTTCGATAAATTTGCTAAAACCCGTATTTTGGGCTAATCCGCCTTGATCCTTAATAAAAAAAGATATTAAAACCGGTGTAAACACCCGATTTAAATTTTTTTAACTTTTAATTTCTGGGTGTGTACACAAATAAGAAAAAAGTAAACGAAGTGGGCTAATAAAAGCTCGTACTAAAATAAAATTTTGTAAACAATTAAATACTTTTTCGATAAGTTGAGAACGCAATGGGCCTAAAAATACACTCATTTGCATCTGGCTCGAACTTTATTGTGGGCTCATCGATTTGGAACAACATTAGATACATTAACTTTCAACAGAAACGCACACAGAGAGAAAATGAGATCCTTTATCAGTTTATTAAATAAATACGTAAAACTAAATACCCTGTTATATCTAATGTAAATTTACAATAATTAACACAGTCCTTAACTTAATTTATTTATTTACAGTCTATACATAAGTCTGAATAGTATTCAGCGATATCCAGTTCTCCTTAGAAATGTTGGAACACGGCAGGTATGGAAAAAACGACTCCTTGAAAACCATTCGGAACTTCTTTGACATGATGCAATAGAGGATGAAATTGATCGAAAAGTTCGTCAGGGTTAGAACGTCGACGATATCACCTACAACAAAGAAAAATATTGAGGTTCATTACGACATTATTGAGCAAATTAGACTAAGCAATTTACGTTTACTTTGTCGTTGTTGAATCGTTTGCACATTTTTTTCTCATATTATTAAGTGTCTAGACATCTTTTTATTAAAATCTATTGCGGGTTTTAAAATCAACCGCCTCTTAGTTTAGGTTATTACAAAAAAATTTACACGATAACTAAAGAGGATTTAATAGAGATGAAAAAATTTTATTGTTAGTTATTATGTCATGAGCACCGAAAAGTTCTATATTTAGTATAAATTTGCAACAACAAAAAATTGTCTTCGTCTTTATGGAGAAGGCAGATTTCACCGGTGACAGCGTGGGATTATGTTATAACGCTGTGAGCTTTATCAGGCTGCTACAGCATGGAGAACTTAACCTAACTTTTTACTTGGCTTTAAATTAAATTTTTTCGGCATTGCTGCGGGTGGTTTAAACTGGAATTGCCGTACTGTGAATCTTCATATGTGCAGAGTTCGCATATAAAATGAGAAATAAATGTAAACGAATAGGAAGTTTCCCTTTCGTCGCAAAACTCTTTTAACTTGGATTGGATCACGTTTCGTTCGATTCGTTTTTTTGTTTTGTTTTGTTTGGAAAATTAAAATACGAGCGCAGATTTACCAATAGGAACATTATTCTTGTATGTAAAATTTTGTTTTTCAATCTCAACAGTTTTACAATATGTTTATATAATAATATAAAAGGAAGCAACACTAATTTTTAAGTTTCAGAATTTCTAAATATGCTTTTAACAGGGCGGCTAGTTCAAACGCTACACAATAGTAATCCAAATATTGTTATCTACTAATGACAAACAACAGTAATTAATGAAAGTTAATTAATACAAATCGATGGCAACTAAACAGTCACTGCGCGTCCAACATTTACAGAAAACTCAGATTTGATTGGTTGGTTCAAGGTCAGTTAATATATAAATTAAAAAAACATTTTTTTCCTTACAGCATGTACATAAATAATATAATAAATAACTTTTTGACGTTTGAGTCAGGAATTTCAAGGAACTTTAGAGCGCCTCCAGCTGCACGGAAAATAAAAGCACACCCGTTTTACGGTTATTTTATTACGCTTTTAACACAACAGGTGACGCCGTTAGGTAAAATCAGACACTTGTCTACCACGTTCATAAAAGTCGTAACACGTAAGCCGGAAAAAGGAAAGTTTGGCTTGTAAATCTTTTTTTTATACCTGGATGTGTCTTAAAATTTTATCGATTTGCCTTCGTATGTAATATCGGTGTCCCACTATATGAATTAAATTTTTCATGGAACATGTTTTATAAATTTTCGTAAGTTGAATTAATTGTAAGAAAATGTTCTCGTAAAAAAATCAGGTCCAACTATATTTATTTAAAAATTCACACGTCTGCCATTTTTAATGGGGGTCTATAATTTTGTAGTTTTTTCAACATTGTTTTAATTTCACCTTAAAAAAGGGTTTAATTTAAACATTGTTATCTAGTAAGAAATTACGAAATTACGAAATTACGTAACCTTATCTAGGAAACCAAACATGTAATACTACTATAAAAATGATTAAAATAATAATCATGGATCGATAATACTTATATCAAAATCTCTCAAGTTCAAACGAACCATAAATCAATATCAACTGAAAATGCAAACTACTATTTGAACAAAATCCGTTTTTGTCATTTTTTTGTTTTTCCTCATAGAAGTAACTTTTTTTAAATTTTTCAACAATGAATTATCAAGGGTTGTCGAGATTCTTTCAAATTCTTAAAAAAAGTAACCATTTTTTAAAAATTTCTCCGAAAGTTGAACATGGAGGAGCTCCAAGATTCTTTCAAATTCTTTCAAAAACTATACCCCTCTAGATTTTTTGGAAGCCCCCAGATTTCAGTTACTATCGAATTATGAATAAAAATAGACCACCAGCGGCCCCAAATATTTTTCAAATTTTCCCGATTTTCCGAGATTCTTTTAACATTTTTGAAAAACGTATCAGTATTTCCTGAAATTTTTACATTTTTCCAAAAAGAAAACACAGACTTGCTTAAGATTATTTCAAATTCTTTCGAAAATTAAACACAGAAGATCCTTTCAAATACTTTCAGAAACAAAATACTAGTAGCCCCAGATTGTTTTAAATTTTTTCAAAAACAAAGTAACAAACCCCCTTATTTTTTCAAATTATTCTAATATCAGAGGCCCTTGGGGTTGTATTACATTTTTTCAAAAATAAAACACCACAAGCCTCAGATTTTTTCATACTCTATAAAAAATACATTGAGCAACTCCCAAATTTTTTCAAATTATTTAAAACACCAAACGTCAGAGATCCTCGACATTTTTTAGAAAATTTTCAAAAGCAGGAACCAAGAAATCCAAGATTCCTGCAAATTTTTTCAGAACTAAAACACCGGCAGTCCCCAGATTTTGGATACTATCAAATTATTTTAAAAATAGAACACCAGGGCTTTTTAAGATTTTTAAAAATATTCCCAGAAACAGGAGTCAAAGACTATTTAAAATTTTCAAAAATATATTATTAGAGATTTTTTAATTTTTTTTTTAAGTTTAAACATCAGAGGCCTTCAAGATTTAATAATAATAAATAATAATAAAGTTTATTGTGCCAAAAAAATCCAATACATAATTAATTGAAAAAACAAAAACAATATTACAAAAATAACAATTTTTAACTTTTTTCCCAAAAATAAAACACCAGAGTTACCCATTGTTCTTTCAAATTCTCCTGAAAACAAAATACTGAAAAACCTAAGATTCTTTGAAATTCTTTCAATTTTTTTCAAATTTTGTCAAGGTCTTTCAAATTCTTTTGACTTCTTTTAAGTTCTTTCAAGTTCTTTGAAATTCTTTCAAAGACGGATTACGAGAGACCTTTTAGATTTTTTCAAATTTTTTCAGAACTGAAACACCAGAAACCTCTAGATTTTAGATACTATCAAATTATTTAAAAAATAGAACACCGGAGACTTTCAAGATTTTTAAACATTTTCCAAAAAACAAGAGCCAAGGACTTCCAAGATTCTATTTAAATTTTTCAAAAATATATTATCAGAGATTCTTTCAAATTTTTGAAATTTAAACATCAGAAGCCTTCAAGATTTAATAATAATAAATAATAATAATAAAGTCTATTGCGCCAAAAAACATTAAATGATTTGTTGAAAAAACAAAGACAATATTACAAAAATAACAATTTTTAATTTTTTTTCCAAAAATAAAACACCAGTTTTCAAATTCTCCTGAAAACAAGGCACTGAAAAACTTCTTTGCAATTCTTTTAAATGTTTTCAAATTCTGTCAAGGTCTTTCAAATTCTTTCAAGTTCTTTGAAATTCTTTCAAAGAGTAAATTCTAGAGACCCTTTAGATTCTTTCAAATTTTTTAGAACTAAAACACCAGAAACCCCCTAGATTTTAGATACTATCAGGGTCCGTTAACTTGGCACCACCAAGTTAATGAATTTTACTCAAAAGCTAGCACCTCGTTGTTCTAACCTAGCACCAGCTAGCACCACCAATCAAAAAGCTAGCACCACCTAATTATTGAAATAAAAGCCTTTTACTTTCGGGGGGGGCCAAGTTAACGCTAGCCCCCCGACATTATTTAATTCTCATGAAAAGTTGGTCCGAGGTAGTTTAGACCTAGCACCAGCTAGCACCACTAGTCTCATAGCTAGCACCACTCTGCAAGTATTAAAAAAAAATTAAAAACCAAAAAAAAAGTAGCCCCCACTTTTTTTTCTTTAATGGTAAAAATCAGTAGGTTAATAGTCTAGAGCTAGCACTCGCTGGATCCATTAAAAAAAAGTGTATTTTTATTCAATAAAGCCATGTAATAAAGGGTTATTTTCGGGGGGGGGGCTAAGTTAACGCTAGCCCCGCAATATAATTTAAAGACAATGAAAAGCTAGCACCTGATAGTTTAGAGCTAGCACCAACTAGCACCATTAGTCTTATAGCTAGCACCATTAAACAAACTAAATAAAATAATTGAAAAGCCCTGAAAAAATAACTCGCATCTATAATTCCCAATCGTGGCCGGAAATAAACTATCTTTGAAAATTAATACATTACAATCATCCATTACTTATAAAAAGTCATGTTTTCTGCATTGAACAGAACTTAATATCTACATTATCTACATATTTAATTAAATTACATCACTTGCGTTCAAATCGTTCTTCATTTATTTCAACACACTAAAAATTAGGCCATGATAAATGCGATCATTTAATTTTTTTCCACAGTCATACATTTGACTGACAGTACGTAAATAACAAATTTGAAATAACAAGCGAGACTATAAAATTGAAGTCATTTGTAATTTATAAATCCGAGGTTAATGACGAAAACCTTTGTAAACTCTAAATTCCTAAAAATATTATTAAAATAATTTAAAATCCTAGAAACTTAACAGACAATGTGTCTAGAAGTCAAGTACAAATTATGAATTTTTACTATCCGTAGTAATAATCCCTATTTTGGGGCAAGCGTCTATTCTTTAGTTTCGAAATAGACGAAATATAGTGTCTATTGGTTAAAATGCAAATTATTTTCTAACATATCTCATAGTTAATATATATTAACTAACAAATTGTGTGGACCAACATATTGTACAACAATGATGTGGTTCATGTAAAACCAGAAATTTATAAAGAATTATAGATTTAAAAAGTCCATAATTATTAGTCTAACCATTAAGTGTACATACTCACACAAATGAACTGACGTCACGTTTACCGGATATTCTTAAACAAATTTTCCACAAAAATCAAAATTATAATTAATGCGGTGTTACTGGATACCGAGGGAGTCGAAACCCAGCTCTTTTGGACCTTTTGTAGGATATGCATTTCTTCACAACGAAAACTTGAAGATATTTGACATTTAATATGTTGCATGTTGCTTTTTTTTTATACATTATAGTTTTGTAAAGGAATCACGAATGTTGT